ACGTCGATCCCGCCAACTGCGTCTCAGCTCCAAAGAGTTCCCAAAGAAGAGCCGGAAAATAGGAAGGCCCTCCACTTGAAGGCTATAAGTGCTCATGGCATCTTGGCCATCGGACGGTTCTAGAAGCCCGAAAGGACCGAGATTTTCTGCGGGATATTGGGGCTGGCAGATATCGCAGTCTCGAGGCCATGTGCCCATCCTTTCAGAGCTTTGACATAAGGTCAGGTGCCGCTTGTAAGGGCCATGCAGGGTATCTGCACGTTCATCCAGATGCTGGTCCCTTTGCTTTGTTTCTTCGTGCGGAGTTTGGGAAGTATAGGTGCCCTGCCAGAATCCGTTCAAGCTTCACATAGAGGCCGATGAAAGGCACCTACGAGGAACTAGCAAGAGAAGAATCTGGACCCTGAGCCCCAAACCCTACAAGGTACCAAGTTCCCTCATTCCCTATCTTGGAGGTTCATGGGTACTTACACCGATTATAAGTCCACTTATAACCTACTGAAAGGACTTAAGGGGCTTATAAGTGCAGTTCTGATTGGGGTCATAAGTACCCTGAACCTCCCAGTGCTGGGAACTCGTATGTTTTCCCATAGTTTCCGGTGTCTCAAAATTGTCAGGGTCGACATGAGCTCCCCTAAGCCCTATAAACCCTGAAAGGTCCCTGAGCCCGAGGCCCTAGCAACCCGAAACCCTAAACCCTAAACCTAAACCCCAAACCCCAAACCCTAAACCCTAAACCCTAAACCCTAAACCTAGAACTCCTAAAGAGCAAAGCCCAAGAAGCCCTGCCCAGAACCCCCCCCAAAATGGCCCTAAAAGCCCTTGCAACTACCCTCAAGGGACTCAAGGAGGGACCCGGGGGCTACTTAGGTAGATAGGGACTATGCAAGGTACATTTACGGGAAGAAGATTAAGGGCTAAGCCCTAAACCCTAAACCCTAAACCCTAGACCCTAAACCCCAAACCCTAAACCCTAGATAACCCTAAACCCTAAACCCTAAACCCGAAACCCTAAACCCTAAACCCTAAACCCTAAACCCTAAACCCCTTCTAGGGGGGTCCCTCCTTTTCCCCCTTCATACCCGAGAGCTCCGAGGCGATATGGGCATGACCCAGTCCTACTACTTCCCCAACCGCGGGCTCTGGCGCGGGCCTAGGGTTTAGGGTTTAGGGTTTAGGGTTCAGGGTTTAGGGTTTAGGGTTTAGGGTTTAGGGTTTAGGGTTTAGGGTTTAGGGTTAGGGTTTAGGGTTTAGGGTTTAGCCGACAGGGAAACTAAGCGGCTTCCGAAGCCCTAAACCCTAAACTTCTTCCCTGAGCCCGAAACCCAAAGTCTAAGCCCCACATAAACCCTAAACCCTAAACCCTAAACCCAAACCGTAAACCCTAAACCCTAAACCCTAAACCCGAAACCCTAAACCCCAAACCCTAAACCCTAAACCCTTCACCCTAAACCCGAATGACTTTATGGGCTTCGGGTTTCGGGAGTCAGAGATTCCGGGACTTCAGTTCGGCTTGTTTTGCCAGGCGAGAATTCGGGACTCGGGGGATTTGGGAGAAGGTGACCGTCAAAGGAACCGGTATCCTCGCCAACCACTGTGTTCTCCGTGTGAGGCATGGTCCCAGGAATTGACATGAGTGGTGCAAGCCATACTAAGAGGCAAAACGGCCAAAAGGCAAAACTTGGACAATTGCATTGAGTTTAGCTGCGCGGGCCCTGAACCTGATGTGTTCGGGGTTCAGGGGGCTTAGGGTTTAGGGTTTAGGGCTTAGGGCTTAGGGTTCAGCATCTCAAGTCCAAGCATTCACCTAGTCAAGCAGCTTGTCAAGCGTTGGAAAAACACCCACCCACCCAAAGAATCCCACAACATTCACAACATACAAAATCCTTGTTGTCGCTGTGGCAACCCTAGTGCCCCGGTCCTAGAGCCTCTACCCCAGGCCCTACGCCCCCAAACCGCAGGGCCCTAAACCCTATGCCCCCACCCTATGCCTCAAACCTTGGGCCCTGCAACCTATGCCCAGCCCTAAACCCTGTGCCAAACGAACTCTTGACGAAAAGCCCACGAACTTTTGACATAACGCCCGCAGAGAACGGACAAACCGCCACAAAAAAATGCCGGCGAACTCCATTGCGCATGACAGTTTGGCCCACCCTCACGTGTTGAGATTGTCGAGACATCAAACCCTACCCCAACGTAGAGAGGAACAAAATTGTCACGAAAACTCGCGCGTCGAGATTGTCGAGACATCAAGCCCTACTCTAACATAGAGAGGACCAAAATTGTCACGATACCTCGCGCGTCGAGATTGTCGAGGCATCAAACCCTACCCCAACATAGAGAGGAAAAAAGTTGTCACGAAACCTCGCGCATCCAGATTGTCGAGACATCAAACTCTACCCCAACGTAGGGAGGAACAAAATTGTCACGAAAGCTCGTGTGTCGAGATTGTCGAGACATCAAACCCTACCCCTACGTAGAGAGGAACAGAATTGTTTCCTCGTGTCATCAAACCCCAAATAAATGAAAAAAGTGAAAGAAACCAAAAGCACAGATCACAAGCATTTAATCTACTGGACGTCTTAATTATCAAATAGAATGACATTGAAAGACTTCTCATAAAGTAAAATAAGATGAAGATAGAAGTAAATAAGATGATGAATCTTGCCTTTTGTTGTACCCCAGGATTCAGTCATATTTCACAGAAAGCAAAACGAGAAAAGCAAAATGGCATTAGGGTTTAACATATATATGGTAGAGAGCGTTCAGGGTTGTGGGTTGAGGAGGAAATGAAGATGTTATTGGCAGGGTTTGCCAGGAAGTCAGTGTAGGCAGCGGCCTGTGACCACGTCCCCAAAAGGCTAAGAAAGTAGGTTCCTTAGATGAAGATCCAGACAATGGACTTTCCTCCTCAATGGTTTGTTGAACACAGCTAGCACAGTCGGCATAGACTGGAGACGAATCGAATCGGACATGCTATCCAATGAAATGCAACGTAGACTATGATAACAGTCGCACAGGCATAAGTCTACCTATCTCTACATACATACATATACATAATCCTACATGCATAGATGAGCCTTCTGCTTTCTATAGGTATGTATACACACACATACACACAATGTACATGATTAGTTATGATAGTGAAGACTGATATGCAGTGCCCTCGACTCACTCAAGAAGCTGTGGCAGGTACTCCTACCAGACTTGCGCATCCAGGTTCGGTTTGTAGAGTTGCGCAGAGACCCCTTTGAAACAGTCTTGAACCTCAAGCACGAAGTACTCCCCCAATGAGTTACCAATCCCCCCCCAAAAAGCAACAGACAACAAAAAAAAGGAGCACCACGAACGCGTCTTGGTACATAGCTCGGCCTATGTAAATGACCTGTTTCGGGCCTTGGTAGGAGCTGGAGGGGATTACACCCCAAACTGCGATATCATGGCCGATGACCCTTCAGAAAACGTGTGCGTAGTCTGTCCTTCGGTGCATGGTAGGGGTGTAGACAAGAACTTAACTTTAAGCCCCCTAAGATGCCCAAAATCTTATGAGTCTTAAACCCTAAACCCTCACATCCTGCCCGGAGAGCAGCGTTTTCAGCCATCTCCTCTTCTCCTTGGCTCGAGGGCAGGCAGAAACAGTGAGCAAGGCGGGGTCCACCCACGATGCATCTCCAGGTTTTCTGAGCCGTGAACTCCCGAAAAATCACAGAAATCGCGGGGGGCTGCAGGATTTTGGCAGACACTTCGTCCTTAAGCCCCTTAAGCCGCCTAAACCCCATGAAAACAAGGCAACCCTAAACCCTAAACCCCGATGGCCTTCTTTTAGGGGTACTTTAGAAGCCTACTTCACAAGTACCCGTGAAACCCTAAACCCTAAACCCTAAACCCTAAACCCTAAACCCTAAACCCTAAACCCTAAACCCTAAACCCTAAACCCTAAACCCTAAACCCTAAACCCTAAACCCTAAGCCTCTTGCTTACGAGAGCCATGGAGGCCTTGAAGGCATGTAGGTGCACGAGGCCGCTGGCAGTGATGGCAGCGTCCATCCTGCTGAAGTCGCTTGGCTGGTTCTTAGGTGGGCGGGAACTTAAGGTACTCTAATAATCCCTGGAAGGGTATATAAAGGGCTGTAATGAGGGAATTGAGGTACCCCTATACAATCCCTTAAAGCCTATTCGAGTCTTCGTAGAGCGTGGTGTAAGTGGGGGTTTTGGGCTTGGAGGGTATATATAGATATATATATATATATATATATATATATATTTATGTAGATATTGATTATTTATTTAGTTACAGAGGTGTATGTGTATGTAGGTATATGTATGGAGCTGTATGAAAAGTGTAGCACTGTGTGGTGTAGGATTGTGAAGTGAAGTGTAAGATGCTCTAGCCCATACTGTAAGTCTCGCCTGGCGTTAAAAAATTCTAACAACAGCACAGTAGCATCCCAAAAATGTCCGCTGGCGGAGCTACTGTAGCTCCCGAAGGACGCGGCCTGCTTTTGCTCCTGTCTACAGTAAAAATGGGCGCTTCAATCCTGGAAGTTTTGGGAAAGGCACCTTTGTCGAACTATTGGTTGCCAGTTGCTGGTGTGTTTAGTGCCTCCGTAGCCTTGTGCTGGCACAATTCTGGCTGTATGGTTTTCATGGGCTAAGGTTAAGGCTTGGGGTTTAAAGTTTTCGGGTTTGCGGATTTATGTTGGGATGTTCTTCCTTATACGAACAGTCCTTAGTAGGGATTGCAATAGGGGCTAGGGGCTACTGCAATCCCTATTATGGACTGTTAGTAGAAGGGGGGGAACGTCCCAGAATTTACGTGTGCCAGCCATTCCTGTGTCTTGCTGACGCGGCCTCACAACCTAGGACCGGGAGTAGGCCCGTTTCTTCCTTTTTTGTAGGGTTGGGGTTCCCTTGTACTCCCCTTAAAACCAAAAAGGGTACCCTTTTTCATTGCTAGCTCCCGGGTCTAGCAACTGAGGTTGGTTGTTCCTATCCTGGCCATGGCCGCTGGCAACAACGACCCCCAGGAAAATGCTCTGTCCCACGTCTCCTGCCAAGAACATGGATCAGACTCACTCTCCCCTAAACCCTAAACCCTAAACCCTAAACCCTAAACCCGAAACCCTAAACCCTAAACCCTAAACCTCTTACCATAACTAATGTGAAACAAGCACTGTGGCTACTACTCTGTACCACGCGGATGCTGCTGCTTGCTGTTGTCGCTATCATTTTCACCAGTACTACTGTTACCTACAGATGTTGCTATGACTGTTGACTATGACCGTGACCATGAGATGTTTCTGTAGCTTCGTGCCTGTCTTTAGGCGATATGCTATTTACATATACAACATCTATGTTTAATAGTTCATTACATATGTACGTGTACTTATCTGTATATATATATATACATATATGTATATACACATATGTCAATCTCTGCGTAACTTCACAAGACTCCACCATACTGTGCATCTTCTTGTCCTCGGCGTCATCTGCGATCCCCCCCGCTGAGGTATTCGGACAACAATCCGTTTGTGTGGCCATGGATTTCCCGGGCTGGTCTCAGGCGGAGGGGCGTGAAAGCAGACCTTACATCCTAAAACCGTAATTTGGGGGCATTTCCCGAACAGGCTTCCCCCGAATATGCCCCAAAACACTAGAATCCCTACTATAGGAACACCCGAAAAGCGCACCCCCTACTTTCGGAAAACCCCAAATCTCAACGCCCTGAGCCCAAAACCCTTTATGGAAGGATAGAGGTGTAGGGTTTAGGGTTGGACGTTCAGGGCAACACTGGACACTCTTAAAGTTCTAAACCAACTGGGTAGTTCGCTAAGTTTGGGTCGGCGTCCCTATTTTAAGGGTGCCAGACTTTACATAGAACTCAAACAGGGACCTGAATGCAGCAAACTACGTGTGCAGCCTTGCAACAACAGACGTCTCAAGGCCGCCTTGGCTGCCTTCCTCCTCTCTGGATTCATCGACGGCTGGGTTGTCATACAGGTGTGGGAACTTGTGTCCACGCAGACAGTCATAATCTTCTTTCTGGTGTTGCTACATAGTATAAATAACCCTAAACCCTAAACACTAAAAATCACCAGCTATGCGGTGTAGTATCTGACCTACGACAGATTCAGCCGAAGCAGATGTCCTGTGCTTGGATAGTCAGGAGGCCGGCCTTGTACAGTGCGGCCACGTGCCCGAGTTTAGTTTAGATAAAGTCTGCGCTATATATAGGGTTTAGGGTTTAGGGTTTAGGGTTTAGGGTTTAGGGTTTAGGGTTTAGGGTTTAGGGAAGCTAGAAAAGTAGGGTGTTGGGTTTGGGGGTTAGGGTTTGCGGTGTAGGGCTTGCTTGCCTCGGGTCTTTTTGTCATCTCCGCTCTCGCAGGTCTACCGCCACTGTGTCAGCACTTGGTCCGAGGCAGGAGCTAGCAAAGCAACTGGGTCAATGTTGAAAATCGTTTTACATTTTTTACGAATACTTAAACTCAACAAGGAACGAACAAGGTTCATGTTTAAAATAGTACCCCCCCCCCCAAGAATGGTGCAGGCAAGCTGCCGCATGCTTGCCGGTTTCTTCACCTTCGTGGTGCTGTGCCTGAACAGCTTCTTGGCAAGGCAACAAGGCAAGCCCTAAACCCTAAACCCTAAACCACCCTAAACCCTAAACCACCCTAAACCCTAAACCCTAAACCCTAAACCCTAAACCCTAACCCTGAACCCCAAGGCCCCCAAAGTGCAGCCAAGGTTTCTGGCTTGTGTACTTCTGGAATCCTGTGGACAATCACTCTCCGGCCACCGTCGTGGCCCACACGATTCCGTACCTCTGCCTTCAGGCAGCGAGCTGCCCCCGCTTCTAGGGGTTAGTGGGGTATAGGGTTTTAGGGTTTAGGGTTTAGGGTTTGGGGTTTAGGGCTAAGGGTTTAGGGTTTAGGGTTTAGGGTTTACAGGGACTTAGGGATTATGGGCAGCAACATGGCGTCCTCATGTTACGTCGTGCTTCATCTCTTATGAGCTCAGACTCGTCTTTGGATGGCATATGCAAAGCACCTACTCTTCCCACGACATCGGGGTCAGTTGGCTTGGAGGAAAGCTCCCTAAACTCCCAAATCCAAAGCCCCTTGAATCTGGGCCCCTAAACCCTAAACCCTAAACCCCAAACCCTAAACCCCAAACCCCAAACCCCAAACCCTAAACCCTAAACCCTAGACCCCAACCTAAAGCAACCCAAAGCTGTCCGAATCCCTACTTGGAGGTTCATGGGTAGTGTGCATAGAACACTGCTTCTAACTGTCCATGAACCTCCAAAGTATGGGGGCTTACGAAAAACTAATATGGACCCCAAAATAGTAGGATTTCTTTACAATAAGGACCCCAATAAGTAACCCCCAAGTTCGGAAGCCCCCGTTGATCTAGGGGTAGTTGCATGGTCCCCTGAGTATGGGCCGTTAGAAGGGTGTCCCTTATATACCCTCTACAACCCAAGGGCCCATACATCAGGACCCGTGAAAGGAGGTTAGGGACCATATTCAGGGTCCATGAAGCTACCCCGGCTGACTTGTAGGTTTTTGAACCCCTAAAGCCTAAACTCTAAACCCTAAACCCCAAACCCTAAACCCCAAACCCTAAACCCTAAACCCTAAACCCTAAACCCCAAACCCCAAACCCCATACCCCAAACCCTAAACCCTAAACCCCCCATTTTGAGGGCCCACAAGCCTTGCAGGTTGGCTACTTCTTGTTCGTGGCGTTTCTGCTGGCGGCTTTGCGGCCGACTTCGGTTGGCACCTGTCGCAAGGCGCCAGTGTGGGTTGAGAGCCTTCCCCAGTCCGGGAGCCCTGAAGCCTCTGAACCAGAAGCCCTGAAACCCCTAAACCCTAAACCCTACACCCTAAACCCTAAACCCTGAACCCTGAACCCTGAACCCGGAACCCTGAAACCCCTGAAACCTGACTCTAGGTAGAGCCCCTAGAGGCCCCGAAGACGGAAGACCACAGCGGGTACCTTCGAATTCTTTTTTGAGGGCTCAGGGTTTAGGGTCTACTTGGAGGTTCATGGCACTCATTACCCAATAATATCTGTACTTAGAACCCACCTATAAGCCCCCTGAAGGGACCTAATTGATATGGTCATAAGTCATAAGTCCAGCTATAAGTACAGTTAGACTTGGTTAATAGGTACCATGAACCCCCAAGCAGGGTCAAAGGTCTCCTGTCTTGAGGGTCGTACTTTGGTGAGCAGGTAGGGTTAGCAAGGTTCTGGGGATCTAGGGGATGCTAAGTAGACTTACTAAGTCAAAAGAGCTTCCCAGGTAGGGTGCGGGGGTGTCTTTCTCATACGCCGTAGGGTTTAGGGTTTAGGGTTTATGGTCATCCTTGTATAGATAGCATTTGTTTTTTGTCGGGGATTTAAGGTCTTCCCACGCTTTTGGGGAACCCAGACATAGAATATTTGCGAGATCATGTTTAGGACAGCTTTTGGGCGCCTGTTTGAGGGCCTCCTGCGGGCCTCTTGACGTCCTCTTGGCCCTCGCGTCTTCTTAGGGTGGCTTCTTGGGGCCTCGTCTCTTGGCCTGCCTTTGTCCTTTAAATAGCGGCCTCCAGAGCCTTCCACAGTCCTTCGTCGGGCTCGGCAGGTTCGATAGACAGTATCGACAGGGGCGTTTCACCGGTGAAGCCTCCACTCTTCTAGTCTTCTAGCGGGCTATATATTCATTCTATCTATCGCTTTGGGAAATGGTGTTCTTTTTGGTGGAGATCTCAAAAACTCTATCTACTTATGGATGCCTGTATAGTTTTAGGGCACCCTCCTAAACCTTCCTAAGCCCTAAGCCTGTATCCTCACTTAGCCTCCGCAGGTATCCTGGTACGTGCTGCTGTCCATCTACTTCCTGCTGAAGGCTTAGGGTTTAGGGTTTAGGGTTTAGGGTTTAGGGTTTAGGGGATCTACTTCCTGTTGAAGGCTGCGCCGTCTTAAGTCACACTTTCACCCCTCCTAAGACAAGTAGACCCGGGGCCTCTCTTCTCGGAAAGACATTGGGAGGGGCGGGGGGGTCCCAGCCCTAAGCCCTAAACCCTGAACCCGAAACCCTAAACCCTAAACCCCGTTTCGCCCGGACGTCTTGCCGCGCAGAAGAGTAGCAAAAGTTGCGTTTTACTCGGCATTTACAGTACTTTCGGCACTTACGCAGGCTAGGAAAGCGTCATTTTCCAGGTTCGCGTTCTGCGACAAACGCGAACTTGCACAGAGGTATGAGTCAACAGTACAACCCTGAAAACACCTAACCCCAAAACCCCAAACCCTAAGCAATCCGGATCACACAAATCAGTTGAAACGCACAAAACCTAGGTCTTAGATTCATGGGAGCCAGGAAGAAACAGCACAGATTCCTCAACGGGCGGGCGCTTTTTATCAATTTTGAGTATGTGTCGGACCAGTTTAGTGGTAAGGGTTGAGGGCTTAGGGTGAAGGGTTCAGGGCCTGCGCAAAAGATGGATGTTGACGGGCATGATCCACCAACGATGGACGTTCCCACCCCCCCTCCCCCCCCCTCCCCTTCCCCCCACCCTCCCCCCCCCCCCCCCTCCCCCCTTCCCTTCCCCCCCCCCCCCCTTCCGGACTTTTGAGTGCCCGAAAGGGTACTTTTGGGGCCCGAAAGGGTTTTGGGCTGGTATTTGCAGGACTTCCCGCATGCCGTCAAGTGCGGCGTAACGATGGGGCTGAAGGCTAAACCCTAAACCCTAAAACCTAAGCCCTAAAACGTGAACCCTAAACCCTAAACCCTAAACCCTAAACCCTAAACCCTAAACCCTAAACCCTAAACCCTAAACCCTAAACCCTAAACCCTAAACCCTAAACCCTAAACCCTAAACCCTAAACCCTAAACCCTAAAACCGAAACCCTAAGCCCTTGAAAGTCAAGAGGTCGCCAACATCTGCGTCACCCTCTGGACCCTCGGAAGGCATTGGACACATTTTTGTATGGTTCAGTTCTATTGGGCTTATAAGGTTCATCTTTAGGGTTTAGGGTTTAGGGTTTAGGGTTTAGGGTTTAGGGTTTAGGGTTTAGGGTTTAGGCTTATAAGGATCACCCTTAGGCAGTAGGCAGTCTTTTTCAGAGGGTTTTAGGAGCATCATTATTTAGGCTTATTCTTCGGAAGGTTGTAAGCGGGTCGTCTTCAAGAACGATTTTGTCAGCGGGGTTTTAACAAGAGGGTCATATTCAGGGAAGCTATTCTCACCTAAACCCTAAACCCTAAACCCTAAACCCTAAACCCTAAACCCTAAACCCTAAACCCTAACCCCTAAACCCTAAACCCGAAACCCTAAACCCTAAACCCGAAACCCTAAACCCGAAACCCTAAACCCTAAACCCGACACCCTAACAAGGGGGGGCCCTCCGAGGACCTTCTCAGAGCTCCTGGAGGAGGGCGTCCAGCTCGGTGGCCAGTCCTCGTACCTTTGTCCTGTTTGCTGTAGAATCCCCGGAAGGGTTTGGGGTTTAGGGTTTGGGGTTTGGGGTTCAGGGTTTAGGGGTTAGGGTTTAGGGTTTAGGGTTTAGGGTTTAGTGTTTCACGGGAAGTTCTCTGAATCAGGGGTCCCCTCTCGGGGTTCCTACAGATCTCCTTCAAAGGGTGCCCAACAAGAAAATTGGACGCCCACAGCTCGGGAGCTGCACTCGCGATGTTTTTGCTCTTCCCCAAACCCCAAACCCCAAACCCCAAACCCGAAACCCTAAACCCTAAACCCTAAAACCTAAACCCTCAAAGGCCAGGATAAATAGAAATTGTAGGTGTTTCAGAATGAGGAGCTCGTGCAATCACCCCCAGCCCCAGCCCCAGCCCCAGGTTCAGCCCCAGCCCCAGCCCCAACCCAGCCCCAGCCCCAGCCCCACCCAGCCCAGCCCCCAGCCCCAGCCCCAGCCCCAGCCCCAGCCCCAGCCCCAGCCCCAGCCCCAGCCCCACACCCAGCCCCAGCCCCAGCCCCCAGCCCCCAGCCCCCAGCCCCCAGCCCCCAGCCCCAGCCCAGCCACCCAGCCCCAGCCCCAGCCCCCCAGCCCTACCCCCCCCAGAGCCACAGCCAGCCACAGCCCAGCAGCCCCAGCCCCCCCAGCCCCAACCGCCAAGCCCGGAAAACCATCGCAATTTTTTCAAAAGCAAAAGAAAAAACCGGTCAAAACTCGGTCAAAACCCCGGACACAAACCCTATACAATTTCTATAAACCCCAAACCCCAAACCCCTAAACCCTAAACCCTAAACCCTAAACCCTAAACCCTAACCCTAAACCCTAAACCCTAAACCCTAAACCCTAAACCCTAAACCCAGGCACAAGGGGCCCAAAGTTCGATTTGCCGCCACGCGGGTGCTGGAGCCGGGTGCCATCCTCGCCCTTGCGCTGCTGCTGTCGCTGGTCTCCTTAGGACTTTACGTTTGTTTTGAGGGTATAGGGTTTAGGGTTTTAGGGTTTAGGGTGTAGGGTTTAGGGTTTAGGGTTTAGGGTGGGGGTTTCCGAAATTTGGGGGGTTGCTTTGTTGGGGGTCCCTACAAAAAAACACGGGAATCCTACTGTACTATTTGGGGGGTCTGGTCCCTAAGCCCCCAGGTCCCTGTGTCATTGTTGTTCTTGGTGGCAACCTCCAAGGGATGACAGCTAACCCTAAACCCTAAACCCTAAACCCTAAACCCTAAACCCTAAACCCTAAACCCTAAACCCTAAACCCTAAACCCTAAACCCTAAACCCTAAACCCTAAACCCTGAACCCGAAACCCCTGTTTGTGAGAGATAATATAATATAGGGGTCGGAATAAGTACTAATAGAACCTACATGATTCCCTTACGTAGGGTTCCTTTAGAGTTCTACTCTAGCAACCCCCCCAAAAACCTTAGGGTCCCTTTGTAAGTATGCTGTACTAGCCCCCCAAAACCCCTCTGCTAATTAGGCCCCCTGTATTCGGCCAACTCTTCCTGGGGCGAAGCCTGTGGGGGGAAGCCCAGCCTTGGTTTGTTGAGACAAAAGGCCTGACTTTGGGATGTTCCCCGCTTATACGAACAGTCCCTTAAGAGGGATCCGAGTAGGGCCCAGGGTGTACTATGATCCCTATTCAGGGCTGTTGGCAGAAGGGGGAGTGTCCCAAGCTTTGCTCTTGAAATATTGAGGCTTTGTGCAGGTTGTCCTCTTCAAGAGCATGCAGCCGAACAGGATGGGGGGAGGGCCGTGATTGGTAAGAGAGGACCTCTCCTTGAGCCGTAGGTCAGAGCAGCTTCCTGTGTCGCTTTGAGGGCCTTACCGGAGTTTGGGTTGCTGAGATCTGACTGCTAAACACCCAAACCCCTGCACCCAATCATCCGACTCCTCCGCTGCAACTCCGCACATCCGAGGCTTCTGCACCCCTTCCAGCCGAGCGGGCCATCTCCGGTGACCCCAGAAGGGCGCCCGGATAAAGATGCAGGGCTCGAAGCTGCCTGAAGGGATCCAAGACAAGTGTACAGGACGATTCCAGGTGGGCAGTTGAGGTTTAGGGTTTAGGGTTTAGGGTTTAGGGTTTCAGGGTTTTAGGGTTTCAGGGTTTTAGGGTTTTTGGGTTTTAGGGTTTTAGGGTTTTAGGGTTTTAGGGTTTACGGGTTTTAGGGTTTATCTCGTCACGAAACACTTGACTAAGCGAATCTGCCCACCTTGTAACTCGCACCACGCGTGCTCTGAGTTGGCAGAACAGCCAACATGGCAAGGCCACTCAGATGCCATACCCTGTCCAGCACCTCTTCCTGCAGTTGGGTGGTTCTTGAATTGAGGGCCTGGGTTCGGGTACGCTGGATAGAAGACTCCGTACTGCAATAGGGGCCATAGTTTCGAGGACTGCCCATTGCTGCCTGCCACCTTCGTTTTAGAGCGCTGTCGCGAGGGCGGCTTGCACTTGCAAGCCCTAAACCCTAAACCCATCTGGGCCGGTGGAACCACGAAGGCAATGCACCAGCAGCTTCGCACAGCCAGGGCGTAGTTCGACGGGCGCCAAGAATCCAAGTTCGGCCCCTCAACCTCCCAAACCCTGCAACCCCGCAAGCCCTACAAACTCGGTAGTCCCTACAGGCGCTGCAAACCCCATAGCAGCCCTCCTCCCCCTCGCGATCTTTGGTAACCCGGAGTGGTATTGATACCCCTGAAGCCCTGAGACCCTGCTGCCCGAAGGCCATGAGGGTTGAGGGTTGAGAGTTGAGGACTACAGGTGCCGCTCTATACCATGTGCGCGCTCTTTGATGCCAAGGCACCCTAAGCCCGAAACCCCAAACCCTTAACCTCTAAACCCTCCTAACCCTCATAACCCTAAAACCCTAAAACCCTAAAACCCTAAACCCTCAACCCTAAACCCTAAACCCTAAACCCTAAACCCTAAACCCTAAAACCCTAAAACCCTAAAACCCTGAACCCTAAACCCTAAGCCCCTCAACCCCTCCAGTTGGAGGAACTTCTTCGAGATTTGGGACATGGTCCAGCTGGAGCCACGCCCCTCAGAGCACGGCGCGAGGGCACGTCTTTGCGTCTGAGCTCCCCCCACTTGGAGGTTCAGGGTACTTCTAACCCCAATTATTAGGGTTTAGGGTTTAGGGTTTCGAGTTGAGAGTTTCGAGTCTAGGGTTTCGGGGCACTTATAGCCCCCTAAGTCCTCTAAGTATCATTGGGGAATTAAGTACCCATGAACCCCCAAACGCAGAGCCCTCAAGGGATTATACGGGAGGGACCCTTTTTTAGGGATCCTAGGGGTTCTTTGGGGGTAATTTACGGGCTTCTAAGGTATACAGGGACTAGAAAAAAGTATATATAGGGGTTATAAGAACTCTCAAGACCCTCAAGACCCTTAAGACCCGAAATGCCAAGCCCTAAATCCCAAATCCCTAAACCCTAAGCCCTAAACCGTAAAGCCTAAACCCTAAAAGCTATAAACCCTAATTCTAAACCCTAAACCTAAACCCCTAAACCCCTAAACCCCTAAACCCCTAAACCCCTAAACCCCTAAACCCCTAAACCCCTAAACCCCTAAACCCCTAAACCCCTAAACCCCTAAACCCCTAAGCCCCTAAGCCCCTAAACCCCTAAACCCCTAAACCCCTAAACCCCTAAACTCCTAAACCCCTAAACCCTAAACCCAAAACCCTAAACCCTAAACCCTAACCCTGAAATCCCTAATCCATAATCCCTAATCCCGAACCCTACACCCTAAACCCTAAACCCTAACCCTGAAATCCCTAAACCTGTTAACTCCAAATTTGGGGTTTTGGATTTCTGCACCTGGCGGTAGAGCCTGCCTGCCCGACGTAGCAACCCTGAACCCTAAACCCTAAACCCTATACCCTAAACCCTAAACCCTATACCCTAAACCCTGTACCCTAAACCCTCTACCCTATAGCCAAAATGGCCCCCAAGGATGTGCCGCCGGTTCTCCATCGTGGAGAAGCTCGGGGACTAAGTGCCTCTCCCCGAAAGCCTCGAAACGGTTTCGGGTTTAGGGTTTAGCGTTTAGGGTTTCGGGTTTAGGGTTTAGGGTTTAGGGTTTGGGGTTACCCTGAACCCTGAACAAACCCTAGTTGAGGTCGAGGGTTTCGATTCTAGGGGATCAAGCTCTGGGATGGGAGCTCGCGGCACCCCACAAGTTCACCCAACGTCTGAGCCTTGGAGTTCCAACCCCAAGTATTACTAACCCCAAACCCCGAAACCCCGAAACCCCTAAACCCCTAAACCCCAAACCCCAAAACCCCAAACTCCAAACCCTAAACCCTAAACCTAAACCCTAAACCCTAAACCCTAAACCCTAAACCCTAAACCCTAAACCCTAAACCCTAAACCCTAAACCCTAAACCCCAAACCCCATGAACCCTCAATCCGGAAGCCTTGTGATTCATGCACGTGAGATGGTGTTTCAACATGTCCTTCTAGGCCATGAGCCCGGCGATGGGCCATGTCTGCTTCGAAGAGGGGGCTCCCTCGCAAACCCGGAGCCCTCGACTCCGAATGCGAGACGCCGCGGAACTCCCCGACGAACCCATGAACCCCGCCGACCCTGTGCAATCACCTCTCTGCCCCCCCCCCCCCCCCCCCCCCCTTTTGTTTGAGGGCCCTAAACCCGTAAACCCTAAACCCTAAACCCGAAACCCTAAACCCTAAAACCCACCCCCCCCCCCCCCCCCCCTAGTCTTCGAGGCCCTACATCATCATGTGGCTCTCGTGCTGGACCTGCGCCTTCCTCCAGCAGGCGGACTGTAAGGTATTTTGATTTAGGGTTTAGGGGTTTAGGGTTTAGGGTTCAGATTTTAGGCTTTAGGGTTGAGGGCTGGGATGTTCCCGCCTTATACTAACTGTCCTTGATAGGGAGTATAGTAGGGGGTACTATAATCCCCATTAAGGACTGATAGTATACGGGGGAACGCGCGAACTGGGATCCTCTTCTACCCTTCGACCCTTCGACCCTTCTACCCTTCTACCCACCCTAAACCCTAAACCCTAAACCCTAAGCCCTAAACCCTAAACCCTAAACCCTAAACTTAATAATCCCTAAACACTAGCCATCCGAAGTGCTCCCCCTTCAGGTCGCAAAAGCTTCCACCCCAAGCCCTGAAAGCCCAAGCCCTAAACTTTATGCCCCAAACAGTTAAGGTCTAGGGTTTAGGGTTTAGGGTTTAGGGTCTAGGGTCTAGGGTTTAGGGTTTAGGGTTTAGGGTTTAGGGGTTGAGGGCCCTCGTCTCCAAGCCTTGACCTGCTCCAGGTGATCGACACCACGCGGAAGCTGGAGGAACAGCAAGACCGGCTAGGCGTGGGGTTTAGGGTGTTGGGGTTTAGGGTGTAGGGTTCAGGGTTCAGGGTTTAGGGTTTTGGGTTGAGGGTTTTGGGTTTAGGGTTTAGGGCTTGAGGGTGCTCTCGGGGTCCTTCGTGAGCTATTGAGGGTCTAGGGATTAGGCCTCGACACCCTAAGCCCCAAACCCTAAACCCTAGACCCTAAACCCTGCACCCTAAACCCTAAACAACCCTACACCCTAAACCCTAAACCCCAAACCTCAAACCCCAAACCCTAACCCTAAACCCTACACCCTAGGCCCCGAACCCCCAGACCCCCAAGCCCTAAACCCTGTTGTCCTTTGGGCGCAGGCAAGTGGCAGCGCGCGTGCCCTTCCCTGTCGGTCTGAGGAGGTTCGAGGGTTTAGGCTTTAGGGTTTCGGGGTTTCGGGTTTAGGGCTTCGGGTATCGGGTTTCGGGTTTAGGGTTTCGGGTTTAGGGTTTCGGGTTTAGGGTGTAGGGTTTAGGGCTGAGGGCTTAGGGAAACCTCCCTCAGTTCAGAGGGTTAGGGCCTTGCGGCTTCACAGGGCTGAGATTAGAGCTGAGGGTTCGCCACGCAGAGTTATTGTTTGCAAGGTGTGCGCCACACCTTTGGCTTGAAGGTGTTGCGCATGCTTTGTTTTTTTGGTTGATACAGATGTGGCGAAGCCACTCTGTGCTTGAAAGTACGAGAAATAGCAGGCAGGGGAGTTTTATTCTAGAAAGGTGTGGCGGAGAGGTTTTTGAAGGTGTGGCTTTTTTAATATTTATAACTTGTTGCTTGAAAAGGAGGAGGTGTGGGTTTGGGGTACTTTTACTTCATAGTCTGGGATTTGTAGCACTCAGGGTTTAGGGTATTCATAGACTTAGACACATTTACTTGAAGTCTCGAGCAGGGTTTTTCCTCCTCAAGAGTGTGCCAACAAACGCTAGGGGTTTAGGGGGCTGTAACGTTAAGAGCGAAAGGGTCTTAGATTGATTTGCGCGAGCGGTGTACGCGATAGGCGGACGTTATTTCTCGAGCGGTGGACGAAACTCGCATTTCTTCCACAGCGCGGGTGTAGACACCGATAGCTTGGGGCCTTGAAACATCGTCAAGTGCATTGCATGCTTCTGGCTTCATGGCACCCTCGCCATCTCTCGCGTAGCTTCCGTGCTCATTTTCTGGTCTTTACGGGTGGGTACCGTGCTCTCCGCCTAGGTCCCGTGCACTTCTTGAGGCTTTGCAGCGCTCCGCGTTTTGAGAACGTGGCTGGCGCGTGGATTCCTGCGTTTTGGGCCGTTGGATGGGTTCGTTGCGTGTGGCCAGACTACGGTTTGTTTTTTCAGTCTTTGCGGCGTTGGAAATCGTGCTTCCGCCTCGGCGCCGTGCGCGTCGACATAGACACACGCCCCATAGACCCCGAACCCTTGAGCCTGAACCCTGTGTCCGAAATCCCGAGCCTCTGCAAAGGCCTGAAGCCCCCAAAGCCCTAAACCTTGAATCCGACAATCCTAAGGTCGCAAGTTTCTTAATAAGGCAGCTAAAAATAAATCTATAGCTACCCTCCCAAGTGCAGCCAAGTATTATAGCTGTCTTGAGGTACCTGGCGCTTCAGCTGCTTGTTCTGGTCACGGAGACCTGGTCCAACCTGAAGTGCGCCAAGACTTCTTTGGGGAGAGGGAGA